GCATGACTCATGTCCTGTTCACCTCTCCATCTCAGAACAGCTAGTACACAGTGCAGCACCTGAATTGTAGAATTGCATTTCAATGTTTTCTTATAAAATAGAAAATAAAACCCAAACTTACCAAAAACTTTGCTTTAGATGCTTTACAAGGTTACACATATTCAACTTTTCCTGTCCATGCAAATCTGCCACCTGACCAAGTATGTTTATTATTTTTAGTAGGAACACTAAAATTAGATACTGACCTGAAATTATTTTATGCTCAAGTGTGGAGAAAATGCTGCCTTACTGCTCATGGACTTCCTCAGGTATGACCTATCTATAGATGTGTTGCTTGCCTGTGAAATAATGGTAAGAACTGTGATCTGGAAAATATATTGTGATGCAGTAGGCAAGACTACCTTTCAGTTTTCATACAGAAATATTTCACACATCCAAAAGAATGAAATGAGGTGAAAACTTTTTTATGGGGAATTTGTGAAGCATGGCGTTGGACTGCTTATAAAATTTTTTTTTTTTTTTTAATGACCTCATTTGGCAGAATTTTTTTCCTCCCCACTTCAAAGGGATAACTATGGCTTATCTGGGTAATCAATGTCAGTTTGTAAACTTTAAATACTCTGTTCTATAGCTGGATCTATGACTTTATACCATGGGAAAAAATCATCAAATTACCTAATCTGCCAGTTTCCTTGGTGAGGATAGGAACAATAAAGCTAGCTCACTACCCAGGTATGCTGAACAAATTCAGTGACCAAGTGGATTGTGCCAATGCAAAACACCAGCTTCCTACTTTACCCCATCCACAATCCTGAAAGGTTATCTTATTTTTATGATGAATCCATTAAAAAACAAAACAGAACAAGGATGTTTGTGAACTTTTAATTTGCTTTGTATAGTACTCCACTTAGCATTTTTCATCTGAGATCATGCTTGTCACACCAATTGCTTCCGACTAACAGAGTCCTGGCGCGGCACTGTAGGATAAGCACAGGACTGCTCATCGCAATGACGTAACAGCGGTTCAAACCCACCAGCTGCTTCTTGGAAACTCTGTACAGGGCTGCTATGAGTCAGAATCCACTTAACAAGAAGGAAATCACTACAATAACACATTTACAATAATACTTTTACCGACAAAAGGAAAACATGCATTTAGAGTGAATCATGCTACAGATAATTTGTGACCTTGAACAGAAATATGATAAGGGTGCATTCTGAATTGTCAAAAAGGAGAAATGAGGATACAAATATATACTACTAGATAATGAACTATTCATACCGAAAGAGATAGAAACAAGGATCACTAGGAGACTTGCGGCAGGAGGAGGTGGGGGGAATGAGACAGTCGTGTTGAGGCAGAGAACTTATGGGGAAGAATGAAAAGTGTCCAAGAATGAAAAGTCATACCTATTCTGATTTAAGGTGTCAGTATCTGCAATGGGGCAAGACCTCATGTTACCCTTTTCCAGGGAGCAAGGGATGGTTCAGAGGGACAGGCTTTGGGCGCTTTAATCGGGTTGTTGTTAAGTGCGTCAAGTCGGTTCTGACTCAGGGTTTCCAAGGAGCGGCTCGCGTTGAGTTTGAACTGCCAAACCTTGTGGTTCAAACCGACCTTGCAGACCAGGGCATTAACCCACAGCGCTACACCAGGACTCCTAGTGACCATAAAACGACTAAATTTAGTTTACCTTTAGAGATGCATTCACAGAGATTTACTGTGATTGTGTGGCTCTGTTGGTTAATGCGCCAGACTGCATGCAAAGCCATTTGAACTGCAAGGTCGGCAGTTCAAGATCACCACCTTCTCCCTGGAACCCTTATACAGGGTCGCTATTGGTCGGAATTAACTCGATGGCACTTAACAACATTGTGATTGCCAAGACTCCTAATTGTCCCCACCCTTTTGTTAAATTCTTGAAATTCCTTAAACAGGAAATTGACTTAAGTTTCTCCGAGGTATATAGCTACTGAAAGGAAAAAGTTTGGCTCCAACTTTCCAGTATTTATTGTGGTCTCTGATCTTTCTGTAGAGGAGAGCAAGAAAGGAATGCTTATCATGGAGGGGAAATGGTTAAGACGTAAGACACACTTCCTTCAAGATCTTTCTAAGATTCCCCCATTTTCTTTGCCTATTTATAATCTCTTCTTGATTATTATTGTGCCTCCTAAATTATTTCTCAGCTTCCACTTTCAGTCCCCTCTAGTCTACCTCCTATCTGCAACTGTAATGGCTAATTTTTCTAAAATCCAAATCTGAACATGAAACCCCTGCATAACATCCTTCGTTTCCCGAATACACAGCTGCAAAACTATTCATTGCCTTTCCGCCATAGGAGCCTCAGTCGTGGTCTCCTTTAAGCAATTTTTGTGTTATGAGCTTGGAATGAATGCCCTAGCCCTGGCTGTGTGACCCTCAGGCATCATCTCTTGCAGGAAACCTTCTCTGATAAAGCCACCCGTGGCTGTTTATAACACTGTTGTTCAGTGCCAACTCATAATGACCCTGTATGAGGCTTCCATTGAGGCTGCGGTGGGTTTGAACTGCTGACCTTGTGGCTAGCTGTCCCTTATCCCACAGAGCCACATCATATATTTGTTAAGTGCTATTGAGTCGGTGCCAACTCATAGCGATTCTGTAGTTTCTAAGGAGCAGCTGATGGGCTTGAACTGCCACCCTTGTGGTTAGCAGTACAGTGCCTTTCCTACAGTGCCACACCAGGACTCCATATATTAACAAGTACTAATTGTTGCACAGTATCAGCTGGTTTATCTTGCCCTCAATAAACTCAATTTTGATGGTTGGGTCTTTGACTTACTCTTTAACAGGCTTATTGGGGAACTGAGCCAAGTACCTACCGCTGAGCTTCCTTTAAACTGTACTTGATCTCAAATCATCTTACAACGGTTTTCAGAATATTTTTGGTCCTATAAAAATACAATCTATGAAGTATAGCCAAATTCTGGCTATTCTAATTTCATAGTCCTAAAGATGACTTTTTTTTGGTAAGATTAACTAGTAAACTAGTTTGGACCTTGGATAAATACAGCAATCGCGAATCCATGATAATTCTTTGTAAATAGCAGTTGTGACGATTAATCACTAGGGGCTTGATGGTAAAACATTCTTGCTTCAGTACTAATTAGCTCAGCATATTGGAAACTTACAGCTATTTCAGAAAATTATGAGTTCAAGTAACTACATGTTTAATGCTCCCTCCTCCCTCTTGAAATGGCAAACTGTATGATTAAATTGAGACAACCTAAAGTAAATTTAAGGAAAATAAGTTTATATTGCAGACACAATGCAGTATCAAAAACAAAATAAACCAATGGAAGGCTTATGCAGCATCCTGGTCTATGAGCATTGCATTGGGAATATTAAAGATAATGAAATTCCTGTGCCCCCAGACTGGTATCTCAGTTGATTCCAGGTATCCGAGAAGAGCAGCTGGCGAGTTTGAACTGCTAACCTTGGGTTAACAGTCCAGTTATTATTCTCCAGCACCACACAGGACTCCACGTATGTAGAAAAGGAGACCCTAAATCTCAGTGGTTAAACTGAAAGTTACTTTAAGCCCTAAATGAACTAGTGAACTGTGGAAATGCTTTGTTTCCAAAGATAATAGATTTGTTAGTAAGAAACATTCTTTATAGTTTTCCCATCCTTATTACATTACTCCCTGGCTTTGGAGTGGGCTCATGTCTCATGAGTAGGTTTAAATGTAAAGCCATTCTTCCACAGCTTCTGGACATGCCTGGAGTGGGCCCAAAGTAAGTGAGGGAATGATCAGAGATGACAAACATTATAATTTTGCTTTCTTTAAAAAACACAAACATTGCAGCATGAATTGAGTTCTTGTGCCATTAAGCTGAAGAGCATATTCTTAAATAGCTGTTTAATATTCCATTTTATGGATTCATTGTAATTGAATTTTATTTTTGATATCTAAGTTTTCGATTTTCCAAACATCCTTAATTGCACTTCTAAGTAATTAAGATTCCTAGAAATATTACTGAATCGAACATTAATATTTAAGGCTCTTGAAACATACTGTCAAATTTCTAGAAGCATACAGGAAAGCCTACATTTCTAGTATTGAGTTCTGCTATAAAAAGACATTTCTTTACAAACTTTTTCCCTTTCTATTGTGGTGTTTGCTAATACTTGGTTTTGAGAATTAAAAAATATCTGTGGTAATAATTATCATTTTAAGGTTTTAGATATTAATAATCTCATTTGTGAACTATTAACTTTTATGTTCATAGTTTTTCTACCCCAGAACCAAACATTGTTATATTCATAAAAATTTCAAATGTGTCCTAATACTAGTTTTTAATCCACCTGTTTTGAATATCAACTGATACAGCATGTGAAGGGCATTTCCATTTAACATTTTGGATAACCTCCCAACAGTGAAGTTCCACATTTACCTCACCTGCAGTGACTTTACTTAAAATCTCACTCTAAATTCTTAGGGTTGCGAAGTCAAGCCTATGCACTTAGCTCTTTTATTTCTAGTACTATATTTTAACACTAAAATTTTGTTTACCAGCCATTATATGTCCTATACCACAACTAGAATAAAAAATACTTGGCAATCCCATTTACACCCCAATTTTATCTTCTCTGTGTGGTTAATCGGCGTCTTTATTTCAAACAGATAAAACTATCTTCTATGAAATGAAGAACTAATCATTAGTTCTCATTAACTCCTGCTTAGTTGGCTAAAGATACAGAGCATATTAATTTCTACAGGCACCTCTCTGAATTCAAGTAAAAGTTTTGGTAGACAAGGATTTCCTAGTGACGTATCATTAACATAATATGAATATTGAGTACAAATATTGCTATGCTTTCATTCCTTTAAATTATTTTACTTTGAAAATTTAAAAACTATCACTTTATTAACAGATTTTCATTTTTAAGGAACATACTGAAATGTGAAAATACAAATCTAATCAAACTAAATTTTGAACACATATAGAGCCAAATATTTCAACAAAACTGCAGTTTAATTTCAGAAAATGTGTTAAAATATATATTTATACATCAATTTCTGACATACACTTAATGTGTTAGTATACACAAAATGATGCTTTCTCTTGAAACTGTATTTATGAAATGTACATTTTAATTTAAATACTCAGTATACACTGCACTTAATCTGCATGTTGCATTTATTAAATACATTAAAATCTGCAATGTAACAAAAACGGTTTCTGCATACGAAATTCAAAACACCATTTTAAATGAACAAAAGATGGCTCACTTCATTTTTGTTTGTTTTTTTTTTTACAACTAGTGTACAATACACTAGCTCAGCTCCACCATACCACCTGTTCGTTCTTTTTTTATTTAACATTGTTCACAGACTAGTACATATTACAATAAGAGTGCTGGATAAAAACATGAGGTACGAAAGTGGTTCAAAGATTATAGGTCATGCAGATCATGCTAGACAGCAAAGAAAATTGTGACCAAGAAAACACTAAATAAAAAATACATAAAGAATGTGCATTATATAAAAAAACAAAACAAAACAAAAAAACTCCATTACACAGCTTTGCTTCTTTGGTTACAAAGTAGGTTGAACAATTTCACAGCTTTTTATTCCCACCCGAAAAAAAAGTCATACGAAATGTCAAAAAGCAGAGGAATCGTGGCAATTTCGCTATTAGAAAGTAGAAACAAATGAACAAAGTTTTCTTCATCAAAATAGCCCAATTATTTATTATATCACAATAACTGGTGACTACCTGTACAGTTGCACTATGGTCTTCATACTTACACTATACAAAATTTACATTCAAGCTGGGTCTTTACTACTGAAAATAAATACCGAAGGTAAATTGCCATTAGTGTTAGAAATATGGCAGGATTCTTTTGTTTAATTATTGCCTGAACATTTTGTCTATTAAATGCAATCCTGTCTTTCAATTCCTTTACTGATACTTATATTTTAAAAAATTAAAAAAGTTCTGTGACATTGTTCATGTACATTATGAAAATAGCAGCCCTGTAATAAATAAAACACAAATAAATGAAAACTTATGTAGGCAAATGTTACTGATATTGAAAGAAAAGTGGCTCTTTAAATGAACTGTTATTTATAATGTGGTAGAAAGGCTCAGGGTAATCCGTGGGTAATCAGAAACATGGGAGAGCCACCAATGCTCTTAAAGACCCCACTCATGCGCACCAGGTAAAATGCAGACTTTGCTCCCATTAATAAACCCCATCTATTGGTCTCCTTTTGTACTGATGACACATAACTGAACATCAACAGTGCTGCATGACATCTCAAAGAGAGGGAAAGCTCTTGTAGAATGATTGTCTAATACTGAAAAGGCCAAACACATAACCGAAGCATGGCTACTTGCTTTCGTATAAAGTGGAAAGAATACCAGTGGCACACAGGATAGATTGCTTTCAGTTTTTTTCTTAATGAGGCAAGAAAGCTTTATGCTGAGGAGACATTCGGCTGCTGTGGAGGTTGCGTTGGCTGAGAAGGCTGTGCTATCACTGCTTGTTGTTGAGAAGTGCTACCAGGATTGGCCTGTTGAGCTGGGAGTTGGGATAATTGATCATTGTTTGAAAGAGATTTTAACAGTGCATTTTCTCGTTCAAGTAAAGAGTTTCTTTCAACTAATTCTTTTATTTGTTCCTTTAGAACTTCTACTTCTTCTCTCACTGCATACATCAAATGGCTTTTCACCAGATCCTGTGGAAAACAAAATGAATAATGTGAAAAAAAAAAAAAAAAAGTGCAGAGAAAGGTTCCAGCCTACTTGGTACCTACAAGGCACTTTTATACTAGTTTCCCTGCTCTTGTATTTACTGTTCTGGTGTATCTTGATCGGCCTAGGGGACAGAATCCAAGCTGAAAGATTTGGTGTGCACTGGTGTGATTTTCAAAATTTTAAGTGATTTCTGAAAAAGACCAACTTCCTAAATTGTCAATTGTAAGTTTAGAAATCAAAAAGTTTAGAATCACATGCCTAGATGTTAAGACTGAGAAAAACAAAGGAGTAGTATATTCCAAAGGAAGCTGTGTGATATTAAAACTAATTCCAGTTTTATAAAGAGGCTTCAAAAAGCTTGTGGAGAAATGGATTCAAAAGAAAACGGAAATTTCCCAAGAATTTAAACAGTTTGACACTAACAATGCTTATTTTGAATAAAAATTTTATATATTGTAAACAATATATCTGTAAAAGAACAAAAGGAAAAAATTAACTAACCCTGATAATAAAAGAAATCAGAAACGCAAATAATTAGTCTAAAAGTCTTTTGTAATTATAGAAGAAATGAGAACCAGAACAGAAACAAATCTATTAAACCAGTGCAAAACAGTGCCTATGAATGACCAAAGGATGACAAAGGTCTCTAGATGAAGTTTCTACTTCAACACTCTTTCATCTTTAAACATCTTTTTTTTAGTTTTAGAGTTAGTTAGGTTTATTTATTTATTTTAAAAGTTTTATATATATATGTGTGTGTGTGTGTTACAACTACACACACACACATACATATGTATTTTATGTACACAAAACCACGCAGGAATATATAATCATTTAAACAACCAAAGGGCACATTCTGCAAGCCTGCCTCCTAGCCACCAGCACACAACCTCTCTTTTCATGAATCTATAGAGTTCTCCGCTGCACTCTCTCTCCATGCTATCACCTCTGCCTCTATCTCTGGTGTTGCTACTTCTCTGGATTGGGTTAAACTATTTTTGGAACATATGTACTTTATTCATCTCTGTACAAAAATGGTTCTCATTGGTGTTAATTCATAGGATGTGAGATATTCAAACGGGAGAAATATTTACCTACCTGTGTTTCTAAACTAAAAATTTTCAATATTTTAAGCATCTTCAACTCAATTTCATGATAGAAAAATTTAACTTGGTCATCTTTGATTTAGGGAAATTAGGTGCTGGCTTTTAATGACAAAAAGTAAGTGCTTCATCAGCCAATGAACAATCTTTGAAATGAGGGGACTGTAAACTTTGACTTACCATTGCTTGTTCTATTTTGTTGTCAATGGCTACAACACCTCCCCCAGACGCACTGGAAAAAATTAAAATATTTCAGTAAATTATTCTAAAACATTTAATCTCCCTTCCAAATCTCAAAATAATATAGAAACATTCGTCTTGCTTAATATCATTCAAATATGGTTAATTGAAAACAGTTTAGTAAGACTATTCTCACAATTGTAACACTCAGGTCTCTCATTTTGAAAATGTGAATAAATCTTCAGTAAGGAGGTCTAAAAGGCCTTTGTAGTTCCAACACTTCTAATGTGCCTATGTGGTTGTTAAAGTGCTGCTGAGTCAGTTCCAACTAGTAGTGACTCTGTGTAGGGTTTCCCAGAAGCAGCTGGTAGATTTGAACTGCAGACCTTGTGGTTCACAGTCCAGTGCTGATCCTACAACACCCACACCAGGAGACCAATGTGCCTATAACATATACTATTTAAAAGTAACTCTCAATTCTATTCAGGAGTTCTCAATTCAGCAGTCTTAAAACAACAGCAACAACAACACTGAAAGAGTAGTATACTTTTTGCACAACTGTTCAACTTTTTCATTATCCAACTATATATTCTAAGCCTAGTAATTACTTATGGCATTAAAAGTCAGTTGATGACATTTATTCTACAAGTTAGTATATTTTAATATTTGGCTTTAAAATAGTTAAGATATGGCTTCTATAAATGATTCAAGAGACTTTTAAATAAATACTACTTGCATAGTCAGTTAATAAGAAACTCAACATTCTGACTGTCCTACATGCTTTAGTTATAGGTTACCTGCTGGCAAAAAGCATCTAATAAGGTGGTTTAAGGAGCTCTGGTAGAGAAGTGGTTACGAGTTGGGCTGCTAACGTCAAGGTCAGCAGTGTGAAACTACCAGCTGTTCTGTGGGATAAAGATGAGGCTTTCTGCTCCTGTAAAGATTTACAGCCTCGGAAACCCTATTCTGGGTTGCTGGTTACGAGTTGGAAACGACTCCACAGCACACTACCACCACCACGAAGGTGGTTTAGATCAGTTTTTCCTAGAAAAAAACTGGTAGTAGTCTAGTTAGACAGTACATCCTACATTCAAGTATCACCTTGTTATTGTTTGTTGTTAAGTCAGATCCGAACCATAATGACCCTGGATAGGGCTTCTGAGGAGTGGCTAGTGAGTTTGTGCTGCCAACCTTGCAGTTCAAGCCGACCATGTAGTTGACTGCTTACCCTACAAATCCACACCAGTCCTTAACTTTTGTATAATAAACACAGAAAGTTGATTTAATGTGCTGGACTGTAAGGTCACTTTGAACCGTAATGTTGGCAGTTCAAGTTCACCAGCTGCTCCTCAGAAACCCTATACAGGGTCACTGAGTTGGAACTGACTCTCGACAGCGCATAACAACAATAAGATTTAGGTGTTAAAATCTGAGAAGACTATTTCACTTCAGGTGATGTGGACCCTCAATACTGTTATCAGAAGAGACTCAGGGTTATCCTGTCTGATTTGGTGGTGGTGTGCTGTGGAGTCAGTTCCAACTCATAGCGACCCTGCATCGGGTTTCCGAGTCTGTAAATCTTTACAGGCACAGAAAGCCTCATTTTTCTCCCGCAGAACCGCTGGTAATTTCGTACTAGCTGACCTTGAGGTTAGCAGCCCAACTGTAACCACAACGCTACCAGAGTTCCTTGTCCGATGTAGTGGTACCTTTTATACTGCAATCCAAGTAAATCTGGCTAGAACCCTGTTACTCACTACACCTACTTTAATAAATCAATTACTTTACTTCCCTGGATGTCAGCTTCATCATTTATAAAATGAAGGAATTGGTGTAAATATCCCAATGTTGTTGTTGTTGTTAAGTAACGTCAAGTAGGTTCCGACCCACAGCGACCTTGTATAGGGTTTCCAAGGAGCAGCTGGTGAGCTTGAACCTCCGACTTTGCAGTTCAAACGGCTTTGCAGTCTGGCGCATTAACCCACAGCGCCACACAGGACTCCAAATATCCCCCCTCCCCCAATGGATTGTCCATTTTTCAATCCTTGAAACTCTGAACCAGAACAGGAAAAACACTGACATTTATCTATGCATCAATCACTGCTGCTGATACATCTAAGGGATACATTGTTAAATATTGTTAAAAAACTTGCCTTTGCTTTACTCAAAGGCCTCTCTGAATTCCTGTGTTAAAGCATAATCACAATTTGCTGATTATGCTCACATCCTCTTATCCAAACCTGACCCCAAAAAGAACTCTAGATAAGTACTGAACTGCTAACCTCCAGACCAGTGGTTCACACCCACCAGCTGCTCCGTGGAAACCCTGTGAGTAGGAATTAACTTGATGACATTTAACAATAACAAAAGATTAACAAATATCTGTATATGTTAAAGACTGGAAGTACAGGTAAAAGCTTTGCAAAGCAAAAACTGTTATGTCCCTCCTAAGCACTTGACTACAAGGTCAGTTTGAACTGCCAAGGTCTGGGGTCCAAACTTACCAGTCACTCCTCGGAACCCTGTACAGGGTCACTATGAGTATGAACTGACTTAATTGCACTTAAGAACAACAACAAACTATAGAAAAATTACATAAACGATTTATCTTCAGCATCGATTTCAATGTTGTTAAGTGTTGTCGACTTGACCCTAATAAAGGGTTTGAGGAACGGCTGTTGGGTTTGAGCCACCAACCTTGAGATTAGCAGTCCAGTGCTTATCCTATAGTGCCACATTCAGGACTCCCAATGACAGCTATCATGTGGGTACCTATCAAATATTAGGCAACATTTTGGCAAAACAAAAATCCCAGAGAGAATGGAAAATATTGTAATTATTGCCATAGAATCATAAACCCATTTAACATATTAATGCTACACTAAGTAAAACAGTTGGCTTTCCAGGCAGTTTGAAACTTGGTATGGGGCTGTAGCATCAGCATGGATTGAAAACCACAAGGTCAGCAGTTCTTGGAAACCCAGTACAGGATCTCTAAGAGTCAGAATAGACTTGGTGGCACTTAACAACTGGTTCCCTGCTAAGGATTCTCTTCCTATGTATGCCTCCTTACTCTTACCACAAGAGATTACTTGCAACCTCACTGGGAAGACCAGAGTCAGATATGAACTTCTAAGCTTACATGCTTTCTACATTTTCACCCTTCTTACTATGCTAACTCTTTCATCCATACTCTCAGCTCAGAGACTGCAAATTAATTCCCAGTCTTTTCTCTGTAAAAATTAAATCCAGAGAAAGCAAAGTCAGGATAATTCAATCTCACATTAAAACTTTTTTAATCTGTAGTAATGTGAATAGACATAATAGCTATTTAAAATTCACTTATTTAAAATATAAAAATGATGCACATTTCTTCTCAAATTGTTCCACAACGGACAAATTTTGACTACTGTTGTCATACATATTTCAGTCCCCCCTGGAAACAATGCTAATTTAATAAGACAACTAGGTAGAGGAAAGGAACACACAAAGTATTTTAGGGCTACCTCACAATAAGCCCGAGTGACACTCTCATTCTACAATTGAGGAAACAGTCTATGTAACATGCTCTAAGTTACAATGCTAGTATAATAGATTTAAACCTAGATCCAATGTCAAAATAGGCTTTTTTTTTTTTTTAATCATAACAGTAAGACTGTGTGATAGGAAGAAAATGACTGATTATACTGTCCTCAAATAAATCCAGAGTAGTGTATATTATTAAGAGTGCTTTATCTAAGTGCCAATGTAAATTGTAAAACCTTAAGCACGGACCCAAAGATTAAACCGTTTTCATAACAAGCCAACTATCTTATCAAGCACATTCTTTTAAGAGGTTCAGCTCTTAGAACAAGGGAGGTAACTTCTTAGAAAGGTACTTGCTTATGATCTTTAGACATAAAGATTGTTCCTATTTGCTAAGAACTAAAGCATTCTTTTGGTTTGTTGGAAAATGTAAGATTTCTTAACATTATATGTATTTACAAGCAAAATATTGTTTAAAAAATTGCCTTTGCTTTACTCAAAGGCCTCTCTGAATTCCTGTGTTAAAGCATAATCACAATTTGCTGATTATGCTCACATCCTCTTATCCAAACCTGATAAAAACAATTCCTCAGGGATTCCTCTTCTTTACTCCTAAGAAGTCAGTCCTTAGGAATCAAGTAGTGTTTTCAGTAAATCACCTACCACTTACACCCTCACACCCCCAAATAAGTTCTAGAATCATTGTTTTTATTAGGTGCCACTGAGTTGGTTCTGATTCATAGTGACTCCATGCACAACAGAATGAAACACTGCTCGGTTCTGTGCCATCCTCAACTGTTGTTACATTGGAGACTATTGCTGCTGCCATTGTGCCAGTCCATCTTGTTGGGGGTTTTCCTCTTTTTCACTTTGCCAAGGGTGTCATTCTCCAGGTACTGGTTCCTCCTGATAATGTATGAAATATGACTGACTAAGTCTCACCATCCTGGCTTCTAAGGAACTTTTTGGCTGTACTTCTTCCAAGGCAGATTTATTTGTTCTTCTGGCAGCTCATGGTACTTTTAATGTTCCTCTCCAATACCATAATTCAAATCCATCAATCCTTCGCCGATCTTCCTTATTCAATGTTCTTCTTTTACATGTAATGAAACTTGGGTCAGGTGCACCTTAGCTCTCAAACGGCTGTCTTTGCTCTTGAACACTTTAAAGAGGTCTTGTGCAGCAGATTTGCCTAATGCAATATACACTGCTTGCTTTCTTGGCTGCTGCTTTCTTGAGTGTTGATTGTGGATCCAAGTAAAATGAAGTCTTTTACAACTTCAATATTTTCTCCATTTATTTTATTTTACTGGGCCAGTTGTGAGGATTTTTGTTTTCTTTACATTGAGGTGCAAACAGAAGGCTATTGACCTTCAACTTCAACAGTAAAGTATTTCAAGTCTCCTCGCTTCCAGCAAGCAAGGTTGTTTCATCAATATATTGCAAATTGTTAATAACACTTCATCTAATATGGATGCCATGTTCTTCTTCATATAAGCCAGTTTCTTGGAATATTTGCTCAGCATA